AATGTGACTTGCAAGGTCAGAATGCTGCAGATATTTAATTTAACAAGAACTTCATGTACTTGTGTATATAGTATTTAAATGAGTGCTTTGGTTTTGAATGCTGGCTTTAAATTCATCAGAGTCTCATTTAAACTCTGACACTGGAAAATATAGCAGCTTCATTTGTCACCTTTATGCATTTTCTAATTAATATTTACCAAGCAACTTTGGTTCAAAAATCTTCATTTCCTTGTGCAATTAGAAAATGCTATTTGTATTCTATGTATAAAATATACGACAGAAGCATGGGTCTCATGAGGTTTTATCTGAAAATTTCCTTGTTGCTAAAATGGGAATGTGTACAAACACTTCAACTTGATTTGAGCAGAAATTTTATTGTATTTTATTTCATAGATTTTTATAGAGTAAAAGAATTTTAAATGGTTAGTAAATCATTAGGGGACTCTGGTGCTCTGGTGGTCTCACGGTAAGGAGCTGCACTGCCAACATGAAGGCACATGGTTCAAATCCATTTGTTAATCTGCTGGAGAAAGATGGACAGTCTGCTCCATGTAATTTCTCATTGTTATTATTGCATGACAATGAGTTGGAACTGTCTCATTGCTGACCCTCTAGCAGGCCTTCAGAGGTAGTAAATCGTACAGGAGGAGACTGCCCATCCTTCTCCTGTGGAGCAGTTGGTGGATTTGAACTGTGTCCTTTTGGGTTTGCAGTACAGCTTCTTATCACTAGGCTACCAGATTTACTGCTTCTGAAAACCCACTGGAGGGTCAACTATGAACTAAATCTGACTTGACAGCACATTACAACAACAACAACAACAACAGTAAATCATTAAGGGACCCTTGTGGCATAGTGTGGCATAATACATGAGTGTTGGGCTGCTAATCAAAAGATTGGTAGTTTGAATCCACTAGCTGGTTACCTGCTCAGTGGAAGATGGGTAGAGTCTTCCTATAAAGATTTATAGCCTCAGAAACTCAATGGAGTATCACCATGTGTCAAAATCATTTCAGTGACAGTAGGTTGGGATTAATAAGTCATTATTTGTGTCGAAGATGTTTTAAGTAATATGTATGTTTTTATGTAACCATGATGCATTATTATTTATTTTTTTATAGGGAACAAATGGCCAAAGAAATGTCAGAATTTTTGAATAGGTTAGTGGCAACATCCTCTGGGAAATAAATACCTCAAAACTAATATTTAGAATAATTTTTTGATCAGTTGGACCAGAACCTGATATTTTAATAGTTCACTCCTTTGTAAGTTTTATGTATTAAGAATATCACTCCTCTTTTTTTTCATGCCTGCATAGAAAAGATAAAAAGATAAAAAATGCCTCCTCTATGGCCGTGCTTCTCAGCAGCATTTCAGACAGGACAGTTCCTCATGTCTTGATAATCCCTGGCCCTTACCAGTCTTATGCAGGGGGCTTCTCATATTGTGAGAAACTGAGCATTTTTTTGAAACTCCCCACTGTGTTGGTATTGCCTCTCTTTCCCAAGTGTAGGAATCTGTGCTGATTGAAGAGGAGGAAGAGAAATAAAAAAAAAGAGGAGGAAGAGGGAAATTAACTCCTGAGAGGCTCTGTATCATAGCTCTGAGTTTAAAAGCCACTAGTGCACAAATTGAGTCTCCAGGTAATAAAACTTCAGCAGGATCTGGTCCATTACCTTTATAAATCGATACGAATCATTAACATTTTAACTGCTGATTCTAAAGCTGCAAAATTATTTAAAATGTTCAGTGAGCATGTTTTTAAAACTCAAAAGTTAATTTTGCTACAACTTTACTCTTATCATTTACATGATTAGCTTTATGACTAATCTAAGTAAATCTAACGAATCAGTACATTGCACCTTTATTTACTATTTTAATAACTCCAAAGGTATTAGAAGCACGTAAATGCCTTGCATTTCTGTACTTTTCACAATGCTCCCTAGGCTTTTTATAAAATAGATTGTTTTTTTTTTGGTATTAGGATAAAAAGATTAATATAAGAAATAATAATTTGAATACATTCTATTTTTAAAAAGTATCAGAACACCTGTACATTCTGGCAGTTTATCAAGTTGCATATTATGTAAATGTGCTTGTAAGAACTAATTTCAACTTCTCTCTTAGAAAACCTCCTGGAAGTGCCTGTAAAAGAGAATTTTTGTTTTTTTGTTAGTGTAGTGAATGGTGATTTAGGGATGCAAAAAAGAAAAAAAATTAAATAGATGTTAAAGCATAATTCCTTACGAAGAGTAGTGGAGAGACCTTGCTGGCACACAGCTGGCTCTTTCTGAGAAAAGCAGTTAAGAACAGAAAGCTTCATAGGAAATTGCAAGTCACAAGTTTATAAAAAGTACAGATTATGCAGTAAACCTAGAGTAGATTTTAGTCATACAAATGGAGGAGGACTTAACCACCTGCCCAGTGTTCTGTGCTCATGCACAATCTAGACCTAGACCAAGAAGCAGTTGTCAGAATCGAACAAGGAACACTGTGTGGTTTAAAATCAGAAAAGATATGTTACGGTTGTATCCTTTCTCCATACTTATTCAATCTGTATGCGGGAGAAAAAAATCATTCAAGAAGCAGTGTTGTGTGAAGAAGCATGTGGCATCAGGACTGGAGGAAGACTAATCAGTCACCTGCATTGTGCTGATGACCCAACTTAGCTTCCAGAAAGTGTGCTTCAATTACATACTGTAGAAGATCAAAGAGTATAGCCTTTCATATTGGTTACAAGATCAAGAAAATAGAAATCCTCACCACTGTACCAGTAAATAATAGCATGATAGAGGGAGAAAAGATTCAAGTTTTCAAAATTTCATTTTCTTTGGATTCACAATCAAAACCCCGGTAGCAACATTCAAGACATCAGAACATGTGTTGGCATTGGGAAATCTGCTGTCAAGGACTTTTCCAGGGTTCCAAGAGCGAGGATATCAGTTTAAAGATTAAGGTGCAGCTGAGCCAAGTTAGGATATTCTCAGTTGCTTCCTATGCATCTAAAAGTTGGACAAGAAATAAGGATGACAGAAGAAGAATCAATTGTTTGAATTGTAGTGTTGGAGCAGAGTGTTGAATAGCCAAAAGAACAAGCAAATTTGCCTTGAAGGAAGTGCCACCAGAGTTCTTCTGAGAGACAAGGATGACGAAACTTTGTCTCACTTTGGGCATGTTTTCAGGAGGAACCAACCAGTCATTACTGGGAAAGACCAGTGAACAAGATGGATTGTGATGGTAACTACCATAAAGGGCTTGAACAAGATAGTGCTCCTGAGGTTGGCACAGGGTAGGGAGAGGTTCAGATCTGTGGTTCATGGGGTTAACTGTGAGTCAGAGCTGGCTTGATGGCACCTAACAACAGCAACTACTAATACTATGTAACTCCAATAACTGTGAGAGCAGTTTTCGAGTATATAGAAATGCAGTCTGTTGTTTTAAGTGAAAGCAAAAACAGGCCTTTCAAAAAAATAACTTGTTGGAAAGACAACACACAATAAGAGATTGTTGTTGTTGCTTGATGCCGTCAAGTCATAGAGATTGATTAGATATAATTAATTAAGCACATTAATCAATGGTAATTAACTTTATAAAACATAAAATCTATGAATATGTGATAAACAAGTATGATTTGTAAGCCTTCACTAAACTTACTTGTTAAACTTAATAGTGAAGAAATGCTTTTATTTATGTTGAATAGAAAGCTATGCATTTTCAAACATTATTTGCAATCTCAGCTGCCTCATTACACATTTTGTCTTGATAACTTGCCACAATTGCTCTTTTCTTGCAAAATGGAAACTGAGATAAAATATATATGTATAAAATGCTCATTTTTCTGATGTTCCACATTGACTATCCTTCTGTAAGAAAAAAAGCTTTCCAAGTTATAGATGACAAAAAAGGAATTCCTTTGTGGCAATTGAGAAGCAGTATTTTAGTTAATATTTTTTTCTTTTAATATTTGTGTCATCTCCTTTTTCATGTCTTGAATGTAATGCTTCAGTTCTTCCTTTGTTTCCCTGAGCTTAAAAACTTGCTTGCAGGTTATTTCTTGAGTGTCTTCTGTGTGTAAGTGTAATTTTTGCTGAAAAAGAACATTTAATATTACAAAATTACAGCTACATTTGCCAAACAAGAACCTTAAATTATATGTAAAAGCAAGCCTTAAGCATTGAGTGACACTGTGATAAAGGTTGAGCTTATTTTATTTTGGCGTGCGTTTTAGAATGTTTCATTTCCCCAGCGCAGTTGCTGTTACTAATTGGGTAAATGCAGCACTTACACGCTTAGGAATTTCACTTTCTACCTCATGGCCTGCACGGCCTTCTGGTGCTTTTCCGTCTGTAGCTTTCAGTAGCTTCTGTAAGTGGTTGTGCTCTGTGGACCAAGTGGCTCATAAAGATCTTTTGGGAGCTCTGGTGGCCTAGTGGTAAGGACCTGCACTGCTAACCTAAAGGCCTGGGGTTCAAATCCACCATGGTCTCAGTGGGAGAAAGATGGACAATCTTTTTTTTTGTGATTTAACTGCCTCTAAAAACCCTCTGTGAGTTGGCCAGCTTTGACTTGGTTCTGACTCAGTGGTAAACAACAACAACAACAACAACAACAACAACAACAATGATCTTTCAAGTCCATTGATTTCTTTTTGATATTTGAGGACTATATCCAAATTTATTTTTTAACTTTTGATCTTCATCTATTAACCAGCACTGGTAAGAACATTTAAATTGGCCTCTGGGGGAAATCCACAGTATAGACTATTGGCATCAAAGTTCTCATTTATTTAGCATGATTATTAAAAGTCATGCTGGAAAATTGTCATTTACACCAGCTAACTTTATACCATTCTTAAATCTTACCTGTTAAGCATACAAAAATGTTTGTTGCATGTTTTTCTAGTGTTTATTCCCATTTCTAAAATTTATTCTCGGCATCTTTTCCCCAGTAGTTTCCAGTTTAAATATATATATATATTTTTTTTTTTTTTTTAATTACAGAGGTCCTGCTGTACAAGCTACCAAAGCAGCTGCTGGCACCAAGAAGCATGATCTGAGTAAATGGAAGTATGCGGAGCTACGTGATACCATCAATACTTCCTGTGGTGAGTGGACAGGATGGTCATAGTGCGTAGCTTCAGAGCCGGGAAAGCTGACTTCTGGGCTGGGATGAAATTTGGTGGTTGTTATATAAATTACCTCAAATTGGTCTCCTTGTTACTATTCCATGAAATGAAGGCCTTGCTTAGTCACAAATCTAAAAGAAAGATATACTTATTAAGTGTATTTTGCCAGCATCTTGCATTGGGTAGAGAGGAAAAACAAAGACAGGTTACAGTTTAGATTACATTAATAACAGAGGCTCTTCTAATGTTATTCGTAATCATCACATATTTAGGATCTGGAAATGCTGGTCCACAAATGTAAGGTAACAAATGACTGTGGCAGTCCTTTTTTTGTAAAATGACTTTTTCCCCCCAAGAGAACAATTAAAGTGAGATACCATATCCAGTTGATGACACACCCTGTTTAAATCAGTATTTGAATTCAGCATATTACTACTAGGTACTTAAAAATGTCATAATGTTGGCACATTCCTCACTATGTGTTTTCCTTCCTCTGTGAGTGTATCTACATAATTACAAACAACCACAGCAACAATGCGTTGCATATAGACCCAAGCTCTATCTGTGCATGTGTGTCTTGTTACATGCCCTTGAGTCAGTGACTGTTTCTTCTGTTGCTGAGGCTTTGGCCTTGAACATGCCACTTAACTAACCTCTGATTCAGTTTCCTCATCTTTAAAAGATCTAGTTAGGTAAGGATTACTGGGTGAAAAAAATTATATATTATAGTAATAATATATAAAATAATGTCATGAAAATATAAAAAAAATATTACCATATAATGCTCATCTCTATCAATGATTGACTTACCTCTGGAAGACCCTCATCCAGGTGGATTGACACGGTGACTGCTGCGTTGGGCTCTAGTGTGTCAAGAAGTGTGAGAATGACACAGGATAGCACAGAGTTCAGATCTGTTGTTCAGGGATCACTGTGGGTAGTACTGGACTTAATGGAATCTAGCAACAACAATTGAATTTAAAAATAAAAACATGTCACAAGATAATGAATGTGAGATGATTTCATTAAAATGCTGTCTTTCTGTCTTTTATTCCTACTATTTACTTGATAGATATTGAGCTCCTGGCAGCTTGCAGAGAAGAATTTCATAGGAGACTGAAAGTGTATCATGCTTGGAAATCCAAGAACAAGAAGAGAAATACTGAGACAGAGCAGCGAGCTCCAAAGTCTGTTACTGACTATGGTAAAATCAAATTTGTGTTTTTAAGTGTTCCAAAGCGTACTTGCTTATTTATGTGCATTTAATTATATTTAAGACATTAAGTGAAATGTCTATATAAATTTTGCCTTTCTGCCGAATTTTTCCTACTGCAGAACTGTGAATTGCTGAGCCTAATACACCTATAATGACTTACATTTTATAAACCTTCTTTCTATTGTCTGTGGATTTTACATATTCAGTAAAATATTCCATGTCTGTCTAGAAATGCAGAAATGACTTGCTACAATGAATTCTAGAGGTTAGAATTTTCTTATCTACCTAATAGGTTGTGCAGTACTTTTTGAATACAGATTTTTAATCACATATACGTACATGCAGAAGGATTACATGTGGAAATAAGAAATTTCTGTGGCTCTATTTTATATATGAAATAAAACATACATGTGAAAATTAATATTTTCCTACTTTCCATGAGCCACGCCTTCTAGCAGGCCTCCACCCTTGGTGAAAGACTCAAGGGCCACCAGCTTTAAGGGAGAAAAAGAGCAGTAACAAACATCAAACACGACCTCAAAAACTTCCATATATGACTACCATCAAGACAAGACCTCCATTGAGATGCTAGCTAGCAGCCAATTCCTAGAGTGCAGGGAGACTCCAAGGCCCCAGGCCCCAGGCTGGCTCACAGACCCATCCCTAATTATGGATGTGGCTGGAGGGCCTGTGGCCCTTGGGCCAAATTTCTTAATTTTAGAATGAATATTCTTCAAAAGACTCAGCAATCATTTGTCTATTTGCTTTACTGAATGACTTAGAGTCGCTCTGATGCTGAACACTGTTCCATAGTCATGTCAAGTACCATAACAGTTACCCATTATGTACAGTGTTTAGATGATTCATGCTGGGAAGCAGGAGTGGCATCCACTTCCTAAGCTAGATGTCTCTGGAAACTCTATAAACTCTCTAAATGTACAGAAATTATGTTAGTTATAGAATAGAGTTCAAGTCTTTTTTGCAAAGCTTACTTTGAGTCGAATTTGACTTGATGACACTTAACCACTGCAAAATGAGATTAGTGCTGTTATATCTGGGGGAACAGTCTTCCACTTTGCACATCACTCTTTGTCAATCTTCTGTATGATGTAACCTGGGTTTGCTGTGATGCTGAACCTTGTGCCACTGGAGTATCAAATACCATAATGGTTTCCCATTGTGGACAGAGTTTGGTGGAGTTCCCAGTTGTAAGGCAGATCTGGAAGCAGGAGTGGCATCCACTTCCTAAACCACATGCCTCTGGAAACTGTGTGAACTTGGAGAAACGATAATAGTTATGGAAAGGTATTAGGTCTTTTGTTCATAGAGTCACTATGAGTGGTGTTTGGCTCGATGGTAATCAACAACAACAACAACAAAACACAAACTTTCCATAATTAAAAATTAAATATTTTTGTCCTTCCCCTCCCTCCTTTTTTTGTAACGTTGAATTGGTTCTGACTGACACAGGAGAGATGGCCCCTCTTTCTCCAGCACTGTGTCTGGTGGTTTCGAACCATGCACCTTCCAGATTATAGTACAGCTTCTTGCCACTAGGCCTCCTGTGCTCCCTTCCTTTCTTGTTAAAAGTGTAGCCCAGTTTAGGGATTACTTTTCTGAAATATGTAAATGTTGTTATCCTTTTTATGCATAGAAATAAGTGTCCCTCCCAGATTAGCTTTCTATAGCCTAGAATAGGAAGACTCAGCCAGTGTGTTAATGTTCCCTTATGTGTGGATCAAGTTATATATTATTGATTAAAATTTTGATTTCTTTGTTTAAAGAAGAAGGTGTTTTACTGACAACATTATAACACTGTGACAGTAAAAGAATAAAACACACTATCTTGGTTCAGACAGAATGTTTGCCTCGGGCAGGCTTTGACTTTGTGCCTGTGATACTAAAAATGGATTTTGTTCTTTTGTGTTGCATTTAGTATTGAAAAGTAGATCAGGATAGCAATAGTCTAGTAAATGCATTCACTAGCTTGAATATCAGTTTAAAATAACCTCTGGTAAATGAGTAATTACTTAAATTTTAAAAGCAGTCATTAGAATTTTATTTGTTCAATAACTTGCCATTAAAGTGTAATAATTTAATAGCTTTATTCAAGTTCATATGAAAATCCAAATGTATTTAGGCTTGAGAGAAGTTGATTAGGGACCATTTTCAGGATAAATGAGGCTTCTACTCTGAAATGTATTTGTCATTTCCCCCTGTATATTATTATTTATTTCATATACAATTCTTTTGAACCAAAGTATAGCTGAAAGTGTGCTAAATAGCCCCATTGAAAAAAATTTTTTTATTTGAATAATTTTCCAGTATAACAACTAGTCATCCTTTAGAAGAAATATCTATGTGATCTAATATTGAGAAAATGAGACTTACTCAGGGAGCTCTGATGGTAAGAAACTGCACTGTAATCCCAAAGGCATACAGTTCAAATCCACCAGCTGCTCCACAGGAGAAAGATGGGTAATCTCCTTCCTTGCAGTTAATTGTCTCTGATAACCTGCTGGAGGGTCAGCTAGGAGTCAGGTCTGACTTGGTGGTACACAACAACAGCAACAACCATAACAAGAACAGAAATCATCTTTGTGAAAGTAAAATGATGACAACTTTTATGATGAACACAGCTATAAATTAGTATTATTGACTTTATGAATTGGTATTATCTACAGTTTATAGTACATTTTTGTATTAGTGAGCAAAGAGCCTCCGACTCACTCCTGTCTGTTTTACTGGTTGGACAAACTCTCATTTAACTGTAGAATGAGATTTTCAGAAATTATATTTTTTGTGATGTAACAATTTTTTTGAGAGGTATACATCATACACTTATCTGCTTTCATTGATAATGTCATTATCTGACATTCCACATTTATTTCATCAGTAAAGACAAATATACTGAGTATTCTGTGCAGTAATGATAAACTTCTGGTTGTACTGAACACCAAGTGTGACGGGAGAGCGACACTGGTTATAATAGTTCAGGTTAAAGCATCAGCTTGGTTGCTCTGTGATTCTCAGTGGTTTGCCAGGTCAATGAGGTAATTTAACAGTTATATAATGGTGTAATTTGATGTTATGTAATGTTGGAGTCACTGCCATTTTGTGATCTGATGTGATAACTCAAATATAATTTTATATATGCCTCTTTGTGCATAACAACCTGGTCTTTGAAATATAACTATGTTAAATGAGAAAAGAGTACTTTCATTTTATAGTTCCTGAGCCTAAAAAAGAATGAATTTAAGATTTAATTATTTGAAGAAATCAGAGCACACTGAGTATATGTGTGAAAAAAAAGGCAATCTTTTTTCATGCTTAAATAGTATAGTTTTCTAGAAAATATGAAAATTATTCTTTTTTTTCTGTGAAAATTTAAATAATGTCTAAAAGATACTATCGTCCCTATTATTATGTTATTGTTTTGGTTTTTAAAAAAGTATATTCCTATTTCACCAAGTTAAAAATTAAATATAAATTTAAAATTTCTATTTTTTTATATGTGCATCAAGCAGAATTTTTACAAACAGAATAACTTTGAGCTCAGAAAGCAGCACCTACTTGTAGTTGGGTTTTTGAGAATCTTTGGTTTACAGGTTGGATAACTACATGTTGGTCACCCTTTCAATTGATGAGAAGAGAATTATAAATTAGAACAATGATCAATTAACAGTTTTGGCATTTTTATCTTGTCTTCAACATCAAATATTTGTTCACAGATTTTGCACCATTTTTGAACAGTTCACGTAAGTCAAAAGGGTGGTAACTCATGAGCTAACTGGAAGATGGGTTAAAAATACTTATAAAGTACTAACAGCTATTAAACATTGTTTTGCTACAATTTTAAGTATAAAACTATGTTTTATGCAAAAGTAATATACATTTGTATTTAAATATATTTTCTTTTTAAGATGCTGCTTTTATTACATCACATGAAAACTCCAAAATATCTGGCAAAATCTCATTTTGCCTATTGCATTATCAAATGACTTTCTTTAAAAAAAAAATAACTAGCATTTTAGACCATGATTATATACCATTCTTTTATTGTAGCAAAACTGTTTTAATAATGCAACTGGCCTTTTAGAGTCAAGACTAACTTTAGGTGCTGCTTTCAAACACTGAGTTTAAAACACTCTGCTAGTGTGTTCATTTCTGTCCGAAGAGATTTCAGTCTTTTATGATAATGTGCATAACTTTCCAAGATTAATAGCATAACTTCCCAAGAGGAAGAAGAGATTATTCAGCTAGTTTTACAACTTGTTACGATGCATATTCTTTGCTTATGTAAAGTCTTTGAGTTACTGAACCGATTGCTGTCAAGTTGATTCCAACTTGTAACTACACTGCAGGCTGGAGTAGAATGGCCTGATGGGATTCCTCAGGAGGAATCTTCCTGGAAGCCAGCCACAGCTTTCTTCCAGAGTGGCTTGTGACAACGTTTCCCTTCACAACTGAGCACTTAAAGCACTGTGTTACCTGAACGTCTTAAATCTCCTTAGTGTAAGATAAATTTCATGTAGAGGTAGTTAAAGAGTAATGATTTAGGCGTGGCATATTCATTTTCTATATTTCTTTTTGGAAATACTGCTTAATAGTTACAATACTATATTTGAATCCTATTTTATACTTTTGAAGGCCATTCAACTGTGTGTAATAAACAGAAATTTAGTTTCTAGCATTTCATGTCTGAACCTTTGTTCAGAAAGGTATTAATTTCTATGCCTTCCCCCCCAAATTTCATTTCTCATATGAAGAGAAAAAGCTGTCAAAGATTTCGTGCTTAGTTTTTTAGTTTTACCCAGTGTATTTAAGTTATAAGAGGCTGTTAAATCTGATCGACTTTTATTTTTTAAAAGATAGTAAGTAAGTAATTCAACTGGATATTGGATTCCAACCCATTACTTAAGATGGAGGAAAAGAGTTTTTATTTTTTTGGGTTTTTTTTACCTTTTTACCTTTTTAAGTTTTTTATTTTAATTTTATTTTATTAATTTTAATGAACATTTGCAGAGATTTTGGATTTCCGTTCATTCATTGTTGCATTTTTCTCCCTTTCCACCCCTCTCCCCCAGTTGGCTCTTCTCTTTGAAAAGTAAAAGAAAAATTCTTTCATTGGTATACCATCCCCCCTAAGTTTTTAGTTAATCTGTTTTTCTGTAAAGTAATTAATTTAAAAAAAATAAATTACCATAGTCATGTTGATGGGACAGAACAAAAGAATAAAAACTGCGTCTCTGTTAATATGCTATAGGTGATGGGCTTTTAGAAGTCACTAACAGAACTGGGCCTTTGTTTCATTCTCTCTTGGGCATTGGCTTTGCTAACTGCTTTTTGCTTTCTTTGGTGTGCAAAGAAATTCAGTTTATACAACTTTGCTATTTCTTGGTGTTAAAGAGTAGAGTAAGAGTATTTTCATCCTTTCAGTATTTGGAAATCTCACCAAAGCCATGCAACTGTTAATGACATTTACCAAATATATAATGTCTCATTGACATACTTATCTTTTTACAATGAGAATCTTAATTGAGTCCCAGTAAGGAATTGGTCTACTTTTAAAATTGTATGAGGAATATTAAACAGGCTTCCCAAAATATGTTGCTAAAGTCAAGTCCTTAAAATGACTCCAGGGAGATGTTTACATTTGTAGATAAAATGAAAACCTGACTATGCAGTGGCAAAAATTGAGCAATGGAAGAACTTTTAATAGTACTACACTTCCCAGTACTAGCAGAAGAAAGGCAAGAATTTTCTGTTATTAAAGAGAACTAAACCCTGCTTACTTCAGTGAATTTTGTTTCAAGAAAACAAATTTATTTCAGAGTAAGTGATTATTTTTGAGGGAAAGTTCATGCTTATTGTTTAATGTTTTTTTTATCATTAAATTGTCTAAATAGCAATAATGAATTATTTGCACTAAGTTGACCATTTTAAATTACAATATAATTGTAAATGAAAGCTTTCACAGGCTTTCTGGTGGAATTTTGTTTTGTTTTGTTTTTGGTGGAAATTTTGGATATATTGTCAACTATTTATAGCCTTCCTATTTCTTAAGTTCAGATTAATTTTGTTTTATCATAATTAGGTTATTCTTCAGTGTTCTTTTAAATCACTCTTTGGCAAAAATGTGTTAATCTAGCAAATAATACTGGTTTTGTTTTCTGACAAGTTTAGCTTAGTGCTCTATGTGTTTGTGGGAATCTGTGAGGAGTTTGTTTTAGTATGTTTGAGTGTAAGGGTGTATGTGTGTAAGAAAAAGGAGGCAGGGTAAGGAGAGAGAGATGTTGTTGTTGTTATGTGCCATTTGTTATGTTCTTATGTTGCTTGTGATTCATAGTGAACTTATGTACAACAGCCCTGAACCCGGCTCTATCCTGAGCCAACCCTACTGTCTCTGATATACCTACCCCCACTACCCCAGTCACTGCATAGTGAATCTCATTGAGGGTCTTCCTCTCTTGTGCTGGCCCTCCCCCCGTCCTTGCACCATGCCCAAAGTGTGTGAGATGGAGCATCACAATCCTTGCCTCCAAGGAGCAGCCTGATTTCACCCTCTTCCGAATGAACCTGTTTGTTCTCCTAGCAGTCCATGTTATACCGTTCTAGGAAAAGAAAATGCTAAGAAACCACATTGAATTGTACTCATTTATACTCAATTAGAATTTAAGTTTTGTTTTAAATGTACAACTGGAAACTCTTCTATATTTTATTTTCTTGGTGCATTTTAAGATAAAAGGCTGTTTTCTTTCTGTCTCAGGCTGCCTGTGTAACTTCTCTTGTTCTATATAATAGCTCAGCAGAACCCAGCAGCTCAGCTTCCTGCCAGGCAGCAGATCGAAATGAACCGACAGCAGCGATTCTTCCGCATCCCATTCATCCGCCCTGTGGACCAGTACAAAGACCCGCAGAGTAAGAAGAAAGGCTGGTGGTATGCGCACTTTGATGGCCCGTGGATTGCCAGGCAAATGGAACTCCACCCTGACAAGCCACCCATCCTTCTTGTGGCTGGTGTGTAGAATTCATATAATTTAAAACAAATAGATTATAAAGTCTCCAAACAAAATCTTCTGAACTTTATGGAGTTAGTAATTGAATTTCAAGGTGAAGAAATGGATGTTTGTAGTTATATCGCATTCGCAGTTAATTGAGGCTTAATTAATTTTTAATGTAAAGTCACAGGCATTTATTGTGTCCTTATAAAAAGCATATTAACTTGTCTAAGAATTTGCTTTTGGAACTTTTCATACTTACTCTGTCAGTTGATTTGTAATGGCTTATGGGAATGTAACAACTTTTTATTAACCCCAATTATTTGCTTGATCAGCTTTAGTGTTGTGGATTTTCAAAGGATCTTTTGTTGGGTACAAATGTGTATGATCCTTGATGAATTATTAAACACCTTACAAGGAGAAAATAAAGTCTTAAAAGTTACAGACTAAGCATTTCTCAAAGTTGTGAGAATTGATACTATTTCAGGAGTAAAGTTATTAAGAATTGATTCTGAAAAATGATGTGATAATTTTTTGATGTCGGCTGATTCCAGGTAAGGATGACATGGAGATGTGTGAGCTGAATCTGGAAGAGACAGGCCTCACTCGAAAGCGTGGTGCTGAGATTTTGCCAAGACAGTTTGAAGAAATTTGGGAACGCTGTGGAGGCATCCAGTATCTTCAGAGTGCGATTGAGAGCAGGCAGGCGAGGCCCACATATGCCACGGCTATGCTGCAGAATCTGTTAAAGTAAAGGCCCGCACCCTGACCATGTCTGGGTTCCACCACGTGTGCCCAGAGGTGTCACCAGCCTACGATCATGTTAGAGTTCCTCACGAAAGTGAACAGATTTTATTAATCCTGAGTTTTTGTTAATTTGTTTAAGGTTAATTATGGTAGTGAATTTGGAACCTAAAAATTACTCTCCACTGTATACTTCTCATTATTCTAATGCTTATTACACTTGGACAGACTTAGACTTTACCCATCCTTTTTCAACAGACTGCTTTAAGTGCTTCCATTGGAATTGTTCTCTAAGAAATGGGAATTTTTTGAAGGAATCATAGTAACTACTTTTGGGATGGCATCCACCCACAGCCATTGAGTTAATTCTGACTCATGGTCGCTCTCCACTGGGCTCATGAGACTATGAATCTTTAGGGAAGGAGACTGCCCACCTCTCTCTCCTTGAGCAACTGGTGGATTCGAATTTCTGACCTCTTGGTTAGCAGCCCAACACTTTGTGCACTAAGCCACCACGTCTCCTTGAATACCACAGAACTGACATGATGAGACTTTAACTTAAATTTGTTTTGCAATAAGTAAGGCACTTAAAATCACCAGGGTACTGATATTTTTGTCTGAAAACCTGTCTACTTTCTTAGTTCACTTTTTCAGAAATTCGTGACCATTTTCCCTAGTAGGTGGAAGCTTTGGTTTCCCCCCTTCTTCGTAGGATATCTTTGTTGGGGTGAAGAAACTCTCTCTAAATTCTGGATCCTAGGGAGGGCTTCCATGTATGTGACGTACTCTGTAATGAAGAACTCAATATCCTGGAGAGATTTGCTTTTCTTTTCCAGTGCACTGTTGCTCCGAGAATGTTCTTCCTTTAAATGAACAAAGAAAATTTAGACTGTTTAAATGCTTAAAAGTTTCAAAATAATTTTTTTTTTCCTTTATAAAAGGAAATGTGTTTTTGGTGGCACCATGGCTTCACTGGACTGAATATTCTTTCAACTTCATCTCAGTTACATTTTTTATCAGAATCTTGTCCAAGTTGTTTCATGTGACTAATTTAGTGTTCTGCTTCAAATATTTTTTTTTAATTCCTACTCTCTTTTTGGCCTTTGAGATTTTGGTATTTGTAGAAGTGTTTTGTAAGCTTTGTAATTCAAAGCCATTGTACGTAGTAATTGGTTGTTTCACATACTTGATTATTTAAATGAAAAAAAGTTTTCTTTGTGTGCTTTTAATTTTGATCAAATGTCAGCTGTTTTAAGCCTAATATTTATGACCTTTGTATTAGGAATTCAGAGAAAAAAATACATCAAGGACTTGTGTTGAAATAATTCTAAAAAGTCTGTATTTTAGGATCAAATTAGAAAATAAAATTATTCTCTCCACCTTGTTTTTCTAGTTTTTAAAGAACTTGATCTTTGAAATAAATTCTCAATGATTTTCTTTTCGCAGGACAAATCAGTTAGAAAAATATTTCCCAACTGATTAGATTGTTGTTTGTGAGCCATAGACATTGTTTTAATAATTCCTTCTCCCATAATATATCCTAGTACAGAAATATGTATTTATGATTGTCTTCTGTTAAAGAAAGTAAATGGTCCTGAGAATGTGAATGTGATTATCTTTTAAAGGTTATATGCTTCATAGTTCATCTACCCTTTGGTTATTTGGTCCCCATGATTGATAACAGAAGATTTGGTTATTGAAATAAATAACCTATTCCTTCTCTGATCTTTTGCCTTTAATTGGTGTTTTTATTTGTATAGAATAGGGAATAATAAATTTCATTTCTTAACTAGTTACAAGTAATGTCCTTTAAAAAATTTAGTATCCAAATAGATTTTTAATAACTTTCCCTTTTATAGTGTTGTCAGAAATGGTTTATGTATCCCTTAGATACATTAATAGCTAGTAAATGGAAATATTGAAAGTACTATAATAAGAAAACTTGATAGTTTATGAGACTTATAGCAACTCTATAATAGCAAAATATTGTTACAGGTCTTTAAGTTTTTACTCAAGAATTAATAAAACCATAGTTAATCATAAGCCATTTTGTTTCTAATTATGTTACACAGCTGTCCTAGAATTTAGCTATTTAACTTTGTCTCGAGTTAATTTTTGCTACCAGGAGAATTGTCCTAATTCAGATAGATTTTAAATTATCTACATACAATAGATATGCATATACCCAGAGGTATGATTGCAGGAGAAATTTAGGACTTCACTGACCTTTTTAGTGCTCTAAAAATGTTGATACAACTGCTTTACTGTGTTCTCGATGAGATCTATAAAGACTTGAAAACTGTAGGAATCAAAAGTAAATCAAGTCATATTTTCATTAAGACTTAAAAAGTTTAAACTTACAAACTCTGCTTCTAATTCTTAATATTTGTCTTGTTCAACATTATTTCCTTCTTTAGCATGTTCCTTTGCAAAGGTACGTGTAGCTAAGACACTAAAAAGTGAGATGACAAAAATTCAATTATAAATCTAATTTCTAATTCCACTAATATTGAGATGTATTGTGAGCTGTGGATATGCACTGAGACAAAGAAGGTTCCCTAATGCACATTTGGCAGAAGAACACAGGATTGTCTTAGTTGTGAATGCAGGGTGGTTAAATAATGCATTAGAGTGTAAGCTCACATAAAGGGCTTTTTATTGTTACATTCAGCTTCCTATGAAGACTTTATAGTTCATTCTTTCTGGTAACATAGTGAAACCTCTTTACTTTGTAAGCAACTAAGAAAAGATCTTATGAAAAATAGGTATTGTTGGTGGAAGCTTAACTAGAGACTAGAAAACCATAGGCAAACATAATAATGAAGATAGATTGTCTGTAGAGTTTTATTAATTGGACATTTCTTTCAAGGTGTTTTCACTCACAGGTTATTACTGTGGTTCTCAGGGGATCTAAATATGTAGATCTTTGGTTTTTTTCATAGTGTTGCTAAGGGCATTTTGGATCAACATAATATATATTGAATGAATCAACTAGTCAATTAATAAATACACTGTTAGTGATAGACTTACCTCCTTTCATGGGTGAGAGAAAAAAGCCAAGTGATTTAATTCTAGATAATGAAGAAGATACAATGTTTTGTTGTTCCAACTATGTTAAAAAAGAAACAAAACAAGCAAACTCTTTAGTAGCTACTGAGGATTTACAAATGACTTTTATTCTATCAGTCTGTGTTTTCAGAAGATAAAATGTTTTCTCTGGAATATGAAGTAATAACAATTATGAAAAATTACAATCATTGCCAGAAGATACATAAGGGAGAGTGATCTCAAAATGAGGAGGAAGACAAGTTTGGGAGAGAAATTGTAATAGCTAAGGAAAGAGGAACAGTGATGGAAGAGAGAGGTTATGTGCCACTTAAGACTACTGAACTCCATAGGCTGGAAAACACTGCGAAATCTTAGGCACTAAAACTCTCCTAGATTTTTGCTGATTTGGGAATTACATGTAAAAAAGAGCAGAATATGTAGTAATTAAAACTTGGATCAAGTTAGGACTGATGTCCTCATTCTTCACGTGCAGAAATGGTACTGCCCCACAGCAGAGGTCCAGCACTGCTTAGGCATTCTGTGTGTGGCCTCGTTAAAGGGAAAAGTAGAAAAGACTTCAGAGTGAGAACCTACCCATGCCAAGACCAGTTCACTGTACAAAAATTAAGCTCAACTCAGTGCATTCTTCATTTCTATAGCTACCTAATATATGAAGTAAATTTAGATATTTCAGAAGTTTTTCAATAATCAGTGCACATTCAGAAGGGTAATCTTTACTACTCAGTTACACATATACAGAACCCCAGTAAAGCATTTTAATTGGTCATACTCCTTTCACTTCTGGAAATTTGCTTAGTTGAGACTGTTGCTTAATTTTTCCTCTTGTCATTAAGGATGTGTACCTGATTCTTTCCTAAATTAACGATGTACTAGAAAAATAATAAATACTTTCTATGTTGAAATTCTTCTTAGATCTTGTGCCTTTAATATATTTACAAGTGTTGTAAACACAAATGTTGTAAATGTCACATTTTATGACCCTGTTTGAAATGGAGTAAGTTAAAGAAGTCTGGAATCCTGAAATTTCATCCGGTCATCAGGACTGGGAAGTCTCATGTTAGCTGTAGGAAGAGGTAAGGAATTCAAAGTGACTGAGCCTTCATTGAACTTCATTCTCCTATGTCATCTCCACCTAGAAGACTGGAAGAATCGTGTGTGAGGCACAGTGTCTCATTTCCTAGTTTAGAGGGAAACGAAATCTTGGCTTCTTTTCTCCAGACCCTTACTGATCATGTTTTTGAGAAAACATAGTGCGATGAGGCTGAGGAGTCAATGATGAGTCCTTCCTGAAGCTCTGACTACAGCTTGTCTGTGCAGATTACTCCATTTTCCTGGCTTGAAACCTAACGTGATCCTGGTAGGCTATCTGAGAAGGAGAGGATGCTTAAGCAGTCTTCTCTCACATTTCTCCTCCTGCCCCGGCTGGTTAGAAATGACTAATGTGAAGATGGATGAGACAAACATGACAAGTACTTGTTCCAAAAGACCATTCTCACAGAAGTTAGAACACAGAACTACCTCTTTTCCCCTCACCTCAAAGTTGGGTTCCTTACACTAGTTGGTGTGCAACTGAAATGTAATTGGTGAGGAGTGGGTGAATGTAGTAGTGCTGGATTTTTTCCAATCTTTCATGTGTTTTAGGTATGTCTATCATACTTGTATGGAAGAAGAAGGGGAAATCTACCTCCATTAAAATTTACAGCCTCAGAAGCCCAGTGGAAGGTTGCTATGAGTTGGAGTTGACTTGATGGCTCCAAGTTTGAGGTTTTGAGTTATCATGCTTCTAATATGTACTTTCCCCACCCAGGGAATTCCAGGGATGTGGGATGTTACTATTCTTAGTTCTGTGGCACCTTGTCATGTGATCAATTTAGAGTACTTGTCCCATATCATAGCTTTTCACTTTTGATAAGAATTAGAGTGAAAATAGGAATGAAGGTATAAGCAGCATGAAAATGATTATATCTGACCTCCATCAATACCGTCCAAAATACAAAACCAGTTCCCATGAGGTCAGATATGCTCCCTGGACTTCCACATCTCTTTCTACTAATCCAAGTAGTAAGTCTACTGCTCTTCTGCATCTGAAATTCATTGCAATAGCTCATAGA